ACCATATCACGAGGGGGGGAAAATGAGTGAGGAAATCAGTTTATAAAAAGAGAGTAAAAGTTTAAAAAGTGAGAGTTATCTTTTTAACAGTGACCTAGTCGAAAAGAGCGAGAGAAAGCGGTAACAGAATTAAAAAAAGAGAGTCGCACTATCTCGTTGCATTTTGCCAACGGGGTCACTAGGTCAGATGATTTCGAAGTGAAAAATTAGGTCGCCGGTTGTTGCTAAAGCTGTTCTGGGCGGATCACAGGGACTGCGCGTAAATGGCAAACACTTTAAAAACGCTGATTTCGATCGACTTTAATGTCGTAAAAATTCGCTGGCGTGGGAAATGACACTAAAAAAGGAAGCCAGAAATTGTAACAGCTTAAAAAAAAGAGTTGTATTAAAGATAGCTTTTATCTGCATTGAAATAACTTAATAATAAAAGTGGGACTAGTTCTAATTTAGATACCAAAGAATATTTTTTTCTCTTTTAATTGCACCATTTAATTTATTTATATTCTAAAACAAGACTTCAATTGATTTTTAAGTAGTAAAATTTATGGGTGAGTTAAACGGAGTAAAAACGTGCTTTGAAGCCTAAAAATATTCAAAAATAATTGGCTAGCAAAAGCATGAATAAAAGTAAATATATTAAAAAATAACGGGCTAGCAAAAGCATGAATGAAATAAAAATATAAAATAAACACATAAAAAAAAGCAAGCGATAATTTTTAAGACCAAATGAGACATTTTTAGAACAGAGATATTGCAATATTTTCCAGTTATGATTGACATTAAACATACTTGAAATGTTATGTATTATGTTTACTCATAATTACGAATATTGAGAGCCATTTTATTCATCAAAGATAGTTAAAATATTTTTTTTAAATTAATTTAAAAAGAAAGTTCTGAATAAAAATAAACAACATTTTAGAACGAAACAATGTTTTGAACTGATTTCTATAAATAAGGTTCACTTCCTTATGTATTAGTAATACTTATTTAAATATTCTAACAAGCAATAATCTATACAAAAATTCTATTTCAATAGTGATTTTTTTTTTAGGAATTAAGACTCAATTTTAGGAAATTTTCTAATATGTACAAAAACCAGGATAATTATAATTAAATCAAGAGAAACTGGAGTAATCCAGTACAGCTGGCAGCTATGTGTGTTACAGGTGTCTACATTGGAATAATTTATAATAAAAATAGGACTGGTTCTAATTCGAATACCAAAAATTAAACTTATTAAAATACAAATAAATTAACGATACTTAATTTGTGTATTTTTATATAAACTTACTGCCTTAAAAGTTATAAAGTTTGTTGGCATGTTAAAAAAAAACAAACAAAAACAAACAAAAAACAAGAGAGTTGGATTAAATTTATCTATTATATCCACATAAATACGAATATAATTATTTATAAGAATTACATTAAATATTTAATTTACAATAAAAGTATGACTAGTCTTAATTTAAATACCAAATAAACTTACTAAAAATTCAAATAAATTTGAAATGTTTAATTTGTGTATTCTATTATAGATTTTTTTCGACTGCCTGACGATTCCACTACTAGGTAATATGTAGTAAAATTTACAAGCGAGTAAATTACATAATAAAAGAAACAAAATAAGCTGCATCAGAGATATCGATTTCATTTACATTGGCGTGATTTTAAGTGAAGTATGATGTCATCTTTATTTAACATCGTGCCGATGTAGACCACGAGCTCATTTCAATACGAAAGGATAAATTTATGAAAGATCAAAACAAAGTTGTGTAATTTAATTTGCGTTCTCGTAGATAAAATTTTCCATTACTTTTAATGCAGTAATGAATTGCATAGTTTTTAATGTAGTAATGTAATGTATTTGATGAATTGTAACAAAAAAAAAAGGAAACCGGTCATAGCAGTATTTAAAATATGCAGTCGGATAAAAGTATGACTAATTCTATCTTAAATATGTTCTTTCTTTTCTTTTCTTTTTATCGATATTTATTTTGTAAAAATTGAAAGCGTGTAAAATAACACTAAAAAATGAAAGCTAGAGATGGTAGAAATAATCCTTATTTGAGTTATTTTTAATTTTTGATTATCAATTCATTTAAAAAAAATTTTTTTTTGATGATTGAGTAATTGGGACTAATACGTTTTTATTAAATAACCTACTGCGTAGGAATTTACTTAAAAATTTTTTTTCAATTATTTAGATTAAAAATCTGTTTACTTTTCATCAGACGACGATACTTTTTTTTAAAAAAAATAAAAAACATTCACCTTTCTTAATTAAATTGAAATTTTTGTAATCGTTTTCTAGTTTCCGATTTTAAACTTTTGTTTTTTGAAATATGATATAAAATGGACACATTTTAAGCTTTAAATTGCTGCTTATATCAATATTTCTTAAGATGTGTGCAATTTAAACGATACATTTTTCATAGAAATTGAGAATGTGTGTGTAGTGTTTGTTTATATTTCAGAATACATTAATCAACGACACCTAGCGACGAATTCCAACAACTATTCGAATTCAAACATTACTTAAAATGACAATCGAAGACAAAAATAACTGTTTAAAACACAAACGAAAATTTAAAAAAAAAAAAGTGAGAAAGAGAAACAGATATTTTCTTAGCGTAAAATAAAAATAGAATAGCAGAGAATAATAACTTTAACTTCAATCTTCTAAATGATTCTAAAGAAGACGACTTTTTTAAATCCAGATTAAGGTTCATAATTTTTCAAGGAAAACTAATATTATGTAAGCTCTACATCATTTTCGTAAGTTAATTTTACACTCCTTGAAAAAATAAATCATAAAACGTGATTCCAATGTGCAGAAAATCTTTTAAATATAAATATTTACTTTAAACTGATACAGTTGCTAGTAATTCTAGATTGTTACTGTGAAATGATATAATATAAAAGCATTTTCTTTATATCTTATCAACGATAAATATTTCATTCATCTAAAAGAACAAAGAAAGAAAGAAAAAACTTGATTCGTAAGCATTTCTGGTAGATTCAAAAAGTTAAATGATATAAAATATATATTAAAGTTTCATTAATCCATTCATACTTTCGCTTTTTTTTTTTTTTTTTTTTTTTTTTCAATTTAACGCCGTTTAAAAGAATAAATATTATTTAACTTTCCTTTTAATATCGTTTTAAGGAATGATTAAAAAAATAACTTTTTCCTTTAACACCTTTTAAAACTTTTCTAACATACACTATAAACTAAGATGATTTTATTTTAAGTATCTTTTTTTTTTTTCTTATGCAGATTGCACATACTGCGTATCTTATATATAAATTTTATTTCAATACGTAGCAGATTTTCTAGAAATAACACTTCAAAATTAAAACCTCAAGAGACGAAATTTCGACGAGTTTTCGTGTCTTAAAATATCACGATGATTGAAATACGTTTATTTCTTTTAATTTCACCAACACTTTTTAAAATTCGGTAGATGAAAGAAGTTAAGTCTATTTATAGACAGAGTATCCGAACTCTGGACCTATTGCCAATTAGAGAACTATGCACCAATTCCCGATTCGAGATTCCCAATATTTTCAATCAAAGAATTCTAAACATATTCCCAAAAAGAGAACTCAAAATTTTAAACACAGTGTCTATGTCTTTTAAAATTATAATGATAAATAAATAAATTAAAGAAAACTATATTTAAGCTAGGAAATCCGTTTAGAAGCCCATAACCATAGGTTATTCTATGGGGAAAAAAGATTATTATATGGATCCAAAAATACCAAATATTCAGGGCATAGTTACGGGGAAACTGTGACAAACAAGTAAATTAAAATAATGATAAGTCTATATAATTATAATTAAGTCTAACTCGAAAAAAAAAAAATTTTTTTTTAAATATTAGTTTGTTAAATAATTTTTTTTATCAGAAACCATTTTAGTAAATGTAATTGCAAATATATTTTTTCACATAATTTAAAATTCATTTGATATTTGAAATTTTTCACAGAAAGAAAAAAGTTTGAGTAATTTTCTAGTTGGTTTAACGACATTTATTTTAAGCATGCAAAATGTTATTGAAAAAATGTGTCTTAAGCAGGTAATAAGGTTAAATAAAAACGTTAGTATAAAACAGCAATTTCAATGGCATGAAAATTACATGGAATTTTTTTTCTTAGTACTAAATTTATTCAAAATTATTCGACTATGTTTTCAATTAGTAATAAATATATAAAAAAAATTAACATATTTAGATTCCTGCTTTCCATTTTGATAAACAAATATCTATGGTGCACATTGCAATTTATACAATATTTCAATATTATCCATTTTTTTCATATTTATCATTTATTTCCTTTCCAATTTCGGAATCTTGCTTCTCATTGTCAAAAATGGGTAGTAATTTGATTCACTATTTCAACATTTTCTTCAATTTTTGTTTAAAATATTTAAAGAAAAAAAAATTAAAATAACAATCTTGCTAACCATTGTGAGAGATAAATCTCTAAAACATTTAGTATAATTTTAATAATTATTTTGGTACTTTTATTTATTTTTTTTAATTTTAGTATCCTGCTTTCTACAGACAAATATATATATATCTGTAATACAAATTATTATTTGATTCAATATTCTTAATTTTCTTTAAAACGATTTCCCCCCTTAATTTTAGAATATTTTAATCAATTGCCATATTTCACTATTTCGGTAATTCATTACATTATTCAAAATTTTCCATTTTTTTAACCATTTTTTCTTTTAAAGTTTAAAATCATGTTTCTTTTCCGTTTAAAAAAAATTAATCGATGCTAATTTCATTTCAATTTCACTCTGCATTTCCATTTTTTTTTAAATAAAAAAAAAAATTTAGAATTTTGTATTTCATTGCAATTTCATTCAGTATTTCAGTTATTCCAGTATTAAGGTTCCAAACAAATTAATTATTTTTGGGTTTCCACGTACTGCATTCATGCGTTATAAAAATAAAAAAAAGAATTAAAAAAAAGTAAAGACTTACCTTCAAGTTTCATTCCAACGTCCAGACATTTTTGAAATCGGCAGAAGGGACATCTTTTCCTTTGACTTTTATCAATGTGACAACTGCGGTCGGCCACGCAGGTGTAAACTTTTTTATTCTGTACCGTTCTCTTGAAAAATCCTTTGCAAGACTCGCACGTGAGCAGACCATAGTGGTATCCGGACACTTTGTCCCCACAAACAGGGCACAGTTCCTCAATACCCTCCTTGGTGTCCGGCAGGTCATGTGAATACTCAACCAGGGGGCCACTGGACTGTTGTTGCGGGGACCCCACTTGCGAGGGCACCACAGAGAGCATGTTGGAGGGCCCTAGCAAAAAAGAAGTATCCATAAGATGCGATGTAGCCATCATTTTCAGGCAGTATTCAATATATATTATATATTTTTATATATAAATCTGAAAGTGTTAGTTTCAGTCTGTTTTGTTCACTGTCAAGCGGGTCTAAGTCGAAAATCCGGGTACATTTTGGTCACTAAAATATATGCACACATCAAATCCCAAGAAGAATGAGAAAGAAAAAAAAAATCACACACGTAAACAGTTGTTAAAAATAGTAATAAAATCCAAAGGCGATGCTGCACACTGAACACTTGTTCATCGTTCTAAGATGGCGAGCGAGTGAGAGATGAAAAAAAAAAATAAACAAAAAGCACACCGAAAAGTAATTAAAGGGGGGAGAGGTGGAAGAAAAAAAATAATTCACTGTCTGTTGCAGTTTTTAATCCAAAAAAGTGAATTCACATAATTGCGAGCGATAGTCGAAAGTCGACCGACTTGCCTGCAAGCTTCCTATAGAAGTGAAAGTCTATTCGACACGTGAGCGACGGAATAGCCACTTTCACCCGCGACCTACTAAACCACGAGGCGGTAGTGGGTCTATGTCAGCACGGGCCCACTGACCCATAAACGGGACGGCCAATCCTGACAAGGGAAAAAGAACTTTTCTACCTGTACGGAAAAGAACGCAACTATCTCTCTCTTGATATTCTCCCCCCTTCTCACACTTATTCCCCCTTACCTTTTCTAAGTTCGGAAGTACGCGATTATCATCACACGCAGAATTATTTGTTTGTTTATGTTTACTTAGATGGGGAAACGATTATATAGAGATTAGTTTTTTTTTTCCCTTTAATAAGTTCTAAATCAAGAGAAGAGAAATGTAACTATACATAAAATTATATGCTATTGATAATAAAATTATTCTATAAATGGAAACATTCTAAGGTTACCATAATTTCAGGTTAACAATTCTAAACAAGTAAATTTATAGATTATTTTGAATGTGAATATTGATAAGAAATAATAGAATATCGTTAGTAAAATTATTTTCTGAATGGAAACATTCTAAAGTTACCATAATTTCAGGTTAACAATTCTTAACAAGTTAGTTTACTGATTATTTTGAACGTGAATATTCATAAGAAATAATAGAATATCGTTAGTAAAATTATTTTATCAATGAAAACATTCTAAGGTTACCATAATTTCAGGTTAACAGTTCTTAACAAGTTAATTTACAGATTATTTGGAACGTGAATATTCATAAGAAATAATAGAATATCGTTAGTAAAATTATTTTATGAATGGAAACATTCTAAGGCTACCATAATTTCAGGTTAACAATTCTTAACAAGTAAATTTATAGATTATTTTGAACGTGAATATTCATAAGAAATAACGAAATATCGTTAGTAAAATTATTTTATTTATAGAAACATAATATTATACCATAACATTGCATACTAAAATCATATTCACGAGAAAAGATATTTAACGAAAAGAAATTACATATTAAAATATAATTATAATTATATGCTAAAAAAAATTTTGTGAATGGAAATATTACACGGTTACCATAGCTTCATGTTGACAATTCTCAACAAATATATTCATGTTGATAATTTTGAAAATGAATATTCATAAGAGATAATAGAATATCGATATGTGATATAGAATATCGATATAATTTTGCATGAATATCGTTACTAAAATTATTTTATTTATAGAAACATAATATTACCATAACATTACATACCAATATCATATTCAAGTGAAGAGATATTTAAAGAAAAAAAAATTACATATTAACATATAATTAGAATTATATGTTAATTATATACAAAAAAAAATTTATGAATGGAAATATTAAACGGTTACCATAGCTTTATGTTGACAATTCTCAACAAATATATTCATGTTGATATTTTTGAAAGTGAATATTCATAAGAAATTAGAGAATATCGTTTAAAATTTACTAAAAATCAATTAATTAATTTTAATTAATTAAAGTTAGTTTATTTAAAGAAACATAATGTTACCATAACATTACCAAAATCGTATTGAAGTGAAAAGGTATTTAACGAAAAGAAATTATTTGTTACCGCTCATAAAATTATTTTATTTAAAAAAACATGACAAGGTTATCTCTTCATGTTGACAATTATCAACAACTATATTCATGTTAATAATTTGGAACATGGATATTCATACGAAACATAATTTTACTATAACATTACATACCAAAATCATATTCAAATGAAGAGATATTTCGCGAAAGGAAATTATATATTTAATTATATGCTAATAAAGTTATTTTATTTAATTGACACATTTTCACCATAACTTCATGTTGATAATTCTCAACATATATATATAATTGTTGATAATTTTGAACATCGATTTTCATACGAAATTATGGAATTATTGTCGCTACTAAAATTATTTTATTTATAAAATCATAATGCTACCTTAAATTCATGTTGATATATCTTTACCGATGCATCCATGCTGATTATTTTTAAAATATATAGTGGAACGAAATTAAATATTGCTAAAAAAATTATTTTATTTGGGGAAGCATTATAATGTTACCATAGAATCACGTTGAGAATTCTTAGCATGCGATCATTGGATCATTTTTGATAGAGACATTTATTTTGATAGTTCCTAACATGGATATTTTCGACAATTCTTCACGGAGATAGTCATGGTGATAATTTTTAGACGCTTTTTCTTCCTAAAACAGAAAAAAATATGAAGTTTTTTTTTTTTTTTAAAGTCTAGGAGTCATGTGCAGAATCGAACCTTGTGAACAGTGTTAAGAAGCGTCCAGGACTAGACAGTGCTGAGTCCAGCCATTCTTGACGAGCTTGGACAGAAATTTACAGATTCCTTCAGTTGCGTGGGAGAGAATAATTTGAAATTTCATAAAGCATTATAGTGCAAGAGAAAGTTTAATAGGATATACCGAATTTGTTTTCTAGCACAGAAGAGTATTAGTACTGTCGTGTAGCATATCGTATATTCACGTTTTTCGCAAAGTTAATACAGAACAAACTTGGTTTTTCACACAGCCTGTGCGGGGCATATGCACATGAGCGAGCAGGATTATAAGATGTGTGAAAATACAGAGATATTGCACTTTCACGTAAATCTCTCGTACGATCACATACGTAGGTTCTGCGCAACGCAGGTACTATAGAACCGATTCGGTTCTCTATACAGAGCTTGGGCAAAACATACTATGAGACATGATGTGCTAATCTCTCATACAGACATATTCTGCACTTCAAGTAAATAGGTTCCGAGCAAGCTCTATAGACAGCAGAGGTTGTGTTGTAGCAACTGCGCTGCGCAAAATGTTCAACTTTCAAGAGAAAACCTCCTATCAGAAAGTTTGAGGTTGTCTACTGCTAAAGAAACAAAAGGAAAAACCATTTCAAATAGGTAGAATTGAACAAATAACGTCTCTCTCCCAAAAACTAATGCGAAACGCTTAACCTCATCTTCTTATTCGAAGTGACTTATCTTCGTAACCGCCAGTACGTGATTCTGGTGTCTGGAGGAGTTCTCGTGAACGCCAGACAGTACATATGCTTTTCATGAGTACTGCAGAAAACAGCGCAGAACATACGAACATGAAAGTGCGAGTTGCTAATTGAAAATGTTAAATATCTCTACTTCCGAAGTGTGGGAGTAAACCCAGTGCATAAATAAATCTTTCAGAGAGAGAAGAAAAAATAGGCTTAATTGATCAATTTTAACTGTTCCATTGATAAAAGAAATTTAAAAGAGCCGAAAACGCAATCGATTTCGTAACTTGATAGTAGTTAATAATTAATCTATACTTATTAACGTGCGACTGTTAACTACACTTGTTAATAATTAACCTATTTTAAACCCTAAAATCACTCAGTTACAACCTAAACCTAATACATGAGTATTAGAACGAAAGTTATTCGGTCTGGGGTTTTCCCTCCTTGCATTCTTTATCCTTCAATTTTAGGCTTTTGTGGAGTAATAAATTAACTTATACTATTAAACTAAATAAAAATTATACTATTAAATAGTTATTTAAACTAATTATTCAGTTGAATTCTTCGAGAGATTTATAACTCATCTGAAATCCAATACAGTGAATCTTGCCGTATTAAATTCAAAAGTTCTTGTACTAGAAAATTTCCTTTATCGACATCAAGCAAACAAAAAAAGAAGAAAACTTTCTCTTGATTTAAGTACTGCAATCGAAATCGAAATACCAGTTATCAACTAATTTTAAAATATCAAATAGAAATCCCCTTTTATTTCAAAATGTGGTTGTAAAATTACCTATTTCCAAACCTGCAAAAATAAAGTAAGAAAAAGAATAAAAATCAATTATATATTTAAAAAAAAGTAAAAATAAATATAATAAATAAATAAATGACAGAACAATTTTAAATTGAACTTCAAAAATTAGAAACTATCCACTTTTCATAAGGAAGGTGAAAGACTATTCTAAATATTTGTAATAATAATATAACTAGACAATAAACAAAGCGAGTCTTAAAGGCGAACATTTTTTAATAAATAAATGTCCCTGACATCTTTCTGATATGATAATGCCTTTTTATTTTGGACATTAATTCCAGTGCAAAATTTCCAAGAGGACTAAATACAGAGAATAAAATAAACTTCAAATTGATAATGTTCTAATTTAAGAACAACTGTTTTTCGACTTGTAATAAAATTTATCTAACTCGTTTATAACGAGAAAGTAGAAAACGAGACCGACTATTTGCAACGTTAAACCAGAATCGCCCGAAATTAATTTAAAAGCTAAAATGAAGAGCAAAGGATTACTGTTAATTTTTATAGATTAAAGGAAACGGTTAATTTTTATAGATTTTATAACGAGAAAGAAGAGAATGAGACAATAGTTAAACCAGAATCGGACAAATTATCAAAAATTAAATAAATCTATAATGTTCAGAACCGAACTAAAAAATGGCTAAAAACTGCTCAATTTTTATATATTTTTTATAACGAC